AAAACTCTGTTTAAAAAAAAAAAAAAAGGAGGGTGGATTCATTATGTTGCCTAAGCTGGACTCGAACTCCTAGGCTTAAGCGACTCCCAAGTAGCTGGAACTACAGGCGCATGCATGCCACCTTACAAACTTTCTCAACTCTTAAAAGGACCTATAATCTCTCACTCTTAAATGGACTCAGCACTCTGTATCAAATATATTATTATATACAGAATTATTTGGCTTTGTAATCCTTTCCCACAGTAGATAAAAAACTTTTGAAGAAATACATGACATCTCATTCCTCTTTGTATCTACAGTGCTAAGAATGAGTAAAATGAACAAACCATTGTTGATTGCATACTATAATGATTTGAACTGCTCTACATGTTGGTGATACAGCTCAAGTTCCTGCCTTCACCACTGTAGTGAGAAGATAGGACGTCTTTTTGTGAGTGAAAGCATTTGGGTATGATCCCACTTTATTTGGGAGAAAGGCTAGGGAACAAGTTTTGTCTTCTTCCATTGAAAATCACTTACCAGTTTCATCATCGTCTTCAGCTTCATCATCATCATCACTGTCATTCTCGTGTTCTGCATGGCAGGCATATGCTCTTTTTAATCCATTAAATAAAAGGATAAAAGCTGGCAAAATCTGTCCAGAAACCTGATTTAAAACTTGGGGTATCTGTTCCATATCAATAAGAGCACAAAGTCCAAGAACACACATCTTTCTGTCATGAAGCCTAAGGGAAAAAAAAGATTTTGTTTTCTTTTCTTAAATAAGCAGAGTTCGGCCCAAAGCAAATTTAATAAAATTGCAATGCGTGTCACTTACCCTAAGAAACAGTCAACATCATTAAGCCACTGTGTAATAAAATGATTTGTAACTGGTTCAACATTATTAGGAAAGCGAAGATTTTCTAAGGTATTGAGTAGTAGGTGTGGATTATAATACAAAGCTGCAATTGCAACTTGCAGACACATAGTTCGAAGTTCACTTGTCTTAACCTCTCTTGTCAGTCTTTCTAAGGCTGCTTCCACGAATAAGGGAATGCACTACAAAAAAAGACAGCAAGATATTTTAAGACTGTAGTTAATAGTATACAAACTATTCGAAAAATATTAGCTTCTTTGTTGCCTCAATTAACCCTATTGTAGCATCAGGTGACCAATATTTACTGCTGAGGCACTGCACGGGGAAATCTAATTTTAGAGAAAGTTTAGTAGTCTCTACACAGCTACTAAAAGCTCACAATGATATCAATCATGGCTTCACAATGTTCCTATTAAAACTGACCATGGGCCGGGTGTCATGGCTCACACCTGTACTCCCAACATTTTGGGAGTCTAAAGCGGGCGGATCACTGGAAGTCAGGAGTTCGAGACCAGACTGGCCAAAATGACAAAGTTCCATCTCTACAAAAAATATAAAAAATTAGCCCGGTATGGTAGTGCATGCCTGTAATCCCAGCTACTTGGGAGGCTGAGGCAGGAACCTGGCTGCAGGGAGCAAAGATTGTGCCACTGTACTCCAGCCTGAGCAACAGAGCAAGACTCTGACTCAAAAAACAAACAAACAAAAATTGACCATGGAAATTACTAAAGCTATTTTAAAAATCTTAAGCCAAAGTTTACCTTTCATGATAACAAAGAAGCCATAAAATATTTTTAGCTAGGCCGGGTGCGGTGGCACAAGCCTGTAATCCCAGCACTTTGGGAGGCCGAGGCGGGTCGATCACGAGGTCAAGAGATCGAGACCATCCTGGTCAACAAGGTGAAACCTCGTCTCCACTAAAAATACAAAAATTAGCTGGGCATGGTGGCACGTGCCTGTAATCCCAGCTACTCAGGAGGCTGAGGCAGGAGAATTGC